CTCAGGAACCATCCCCACCTTCTGCCAGACCCAGAAGCCCTCACCTTCCTCAATCTCGCCTCCAACGCCCTCTCCGGCCCGCCCACCCCGCTCTCCTCCCCCTCCTGCTCCGCCTACCTCTCCTCCAACAGCCTCTCCAGCCCCATCCCTCAGGCCCCTTCTTCATACCCCCTATCCCCCATTCCCCACACCCCTCAGGCCCCATCCCCGCCTTCTGCCAGGGCGAGTAGGCCCTCGCCTTCCTTGAAATTGAATGTGCCTTCTTCTCGAAATTGAATGTCCCATAACTTTGATTCCCACCCCCCCCCCCCCCCCCCCCCCGTCTCTTCTCTCTCTGTTTTTCCCGCACCCATCCCCCGTTCCAAGCCGAGCTGGCCCTTGCCATCCTCAATCTCGCCTCCAATGCTCTCTCCGGCCCGCCCACCACCCTCGCCTCCCCCTTCTGCTCCGTTTCTCTCCTCCCCCTCTCTCCTCCGTTTCTGCACCCCTTCCTGCTAACACCTCCCTGCTTGATTTTACTCGTCGTTCCTCCCTGCTCTATCCCTGTGCTTGCTCCTGCCTCCCATCCCCCACTCCTCAGGCCCCATTCCCGCTTTCTGCCAGGGCAAGCAGGCCCTCACCTACCTCAATCTCGCCTTCAACGCCCTCTCCGGCCCGCCCACCCCGCTCTCCTCCCCCTCCTGCGCCGCCTCCCTCTCCTTCCTCTATTTCTCCTCCAACCGCCTCTCTGGCCCCATCCCCGCTACAGTCAGCTCCTTTACACACCTAAAGCGCCTGCTCCTCGACAGCAACATTCTCACGGGAGCAATCCCAGCCGGTGTGAGCAACATGAAACGGCTGCGGGGACTTTGGCTGTCGAATAACAACCTAACTGGTTCCATTCCCGAGGTTTGGCCGGCAAGGATACGGCAGGTGCTGCTGGCGGGGAATCGGCTGTCAGGGGCTGTTCCGGCGGCTCTGAGCAAGCTGAAGAGAGGCTCTTTAAACCAGGGAACGACAACCTGTGTGGAAAACCACTGCCTGCTTGTGCTTAGGTCCCATCCCCCCATGTGCATATGATCCCTTCCTACATGCTTCAGCCATGACCAAGCTGAAAAAAGAAACACAAGTATCCCTTATATATGGGAATTTCTAGTGTGTGCGGAATAGCCCTGCCTGCCTGTGCCTAGAACCATGTCTTCCTGTGCTTGTGAGAGGCCAGTCTTGCATGTGTGTATATGAACCTTGTTTCAATAATCAAGCTCTAGCAAGCTGCAGCTGGGCATCCCAAAACATGAGAGACACCGCTGCCCGTGCATCTCAGTGCATGGAACCATGCATCTCTGTGCATGGAACAAAGCATCTCAGTGCATGGAACCATTCATCTCAGTGCATGGAACCATGCATCTCAGTGCATGGAACCATTCATCTCAGTGCATGGAACCATGCATCTCAGTGCATGGAACCATGCATCTCAGTGCATGGAACCATGCATCTCAGTGCATGGAACCATGCATCTCAGGGCATGGAACCATTCATCTCAGTGCATGGAACCATGCATCTCAGTGCATGGAACCATGCATCTCAGTGCATGGAACCATTCATCTCAGTGCATGGAACCATGCATCTCAGTGCATGGAACCATTCATCTCAGTGCATGGAACCATGCATCTCAGTGCATGGAACCATGCATCTCAGTGCATGGAACCATGCATCTCAGTGCATGGAACCATGCATCTCAGTGCATGGAACCATGCATCTCAGTGCATGGAACCATTCATCTCAGTGCATGGAACCATGCATCTCAGTGCATGGAACCATGCATCTCAGTGCATGGAACAAAGCATCTCAGTGCATGGAACCATGCATCTCAGTGCATGGAACCATGCATCTCAGTGCATGGAACCATGCATCTCAGTGCATGGAACCATGCATCTCAGTGCGTGGAACCATTCATCTCAGTGCATGGAACCATTCATCTCAGTGCATGGAACCATGCATCTCAGTGCATGGAACCATGCATCTCAGTGCATGGAACCATTCATCTCAGTGCGTGGAACCATGCATCTCAGTGCATGGAACCATGCATCTCAGTGCATGGAACCATTCATCTCAGTGCATGGAACCATGCATCTCAGTGCATGGAACCATGCATCTCAGTGCATGGAACCATTCATCTCAGTGCATGGAACCATGCATCTCAGTGCATGGAACCATTCATCTCAGTGCATGGAACCATGCATCACAGTGCATGGAACCATGCATCTCAGTGCATGGAACCATGCATCTCAGTGCATGGAACCATGCATCTCAGTGCATGGAACCATGCATCTCAGTGCATGGAACCATTCATCTCAGTGCATGGAACCATGCATCTCAGTGCATGGAACCATGCATCTCAGTGCATGGAACCATGCATCTCAGTGCATGGAACCATGCATCTCAGTGCATGGAACCATGCATCTCAGTGCGTGGAACCATGCATCTCAGTGCATGGAACCATGCATCTCAGTGCGTGGAACCATTCATCTCAGTGCATGGAACCATTCATCTCAGTGCGTGGAACCATGCATCTCAGTGCATGGAACCATGCATCTCAGTGCATGGAACCATTCATCTCAGTGCATGGAACCATGCATCTCAGTGCATGGAACCATGCATCTCAGTGCATGGAACCATGCATCTCAGTGCATGGAACCATGCATCTCAGTGCATGGAACCATGCATCTCAGTGCATGGAACCATGCATCTCAGTGCATGGAACCATGCATCTCAGTGCATGGAACCATGCATCTCAGTGCATGGAACCATGCATCTCAGTGCATGGAACCATGCATCTCAGTTCATGGAACCATGCATCTCAGTGCATGGAACCATTCATCTCAGTGCATGGAACCATGCATCTCAGTGCATAGAACCATTCATCTCAGTGCATGGAACCATTCATCTCAGTGCATGGAACCATGCATCTCAGTGCATGGAACCATGCATCTCAGTGCATGGAACCATGCATCTCAGTGCATGGAACCATGCATCTCAGTGCATGGAACCATGCATCTCAGTGCATGGAACCATGCATCTCAGTGCGTGGAACCATGCATCTCAGTGCATGGAACCATGCATCTCAGTGCGTGGAACCATTCATCTCAGTGCATGGAACCATTCATCTCAGTGCGTGGAACCATGCATCTCAGTGCATGGAACCATGCATCTCAGTGCATGGAACCATTCATCTCAGTGCATGGAACCATGCATCTCAGTGCATGGAACCATGCATCTCAGTGCATGGAACCATGCATCTCAGTGCATGGAACCATGCATCTCAGTGCATGGAACCATGCATCTCAGTGCATGGAACCATGCATCTCAGTGCATGGAACCATGCATCTCAGTGCATGGAACCATGCATCTCAGTGCATGGAACCATGCATCTCAGTGCATGGAACCATGCATCTCAGTTCATGGAACCATGCATCTCAGTGCATGGAACCATTCATCTCAGTGCATGGAACCATGCATCTCAGTGCATAGAACCATTCATCTCAGTGCATGGAACCATTCATCTCAGTGCATGGAACCATGCATCTCAGTGCATGGAACCATGCATCTCAGTGCATGGAACCATGCATCTCAGTGCATGGAACCATGCATCTCAGTGCATGGAACCATTCATCTCAGTGCATGGAACCATTCATCTCAGTGCATGGAACCATGCATCTCAGTGCATGGAACCATGCATCTCAGTGGATGGAACCATGCATCTCAGTGCATGGAACCATGCATCTCAGTGCATGGAACCATGCATCTCAGTGCATGGAACCATGCATCTCAGTGCATGGAACCATGCATCTCAGTGCATGGAACCATGCATCTCAGTGCATGGAACCATGCATCTCAGTGCATGGAACCATGCATCTCAGTGCATGGAACCATGCATCTCAGTGCATGGAACCATGCATCTCAGTGCATGGAACCATGCATCTCAGTGCATGGAACCATTCATCTCAGCGCATGGAACCATGCATCTCAGTGCATGGAACCATGCATCTCAAGGCATGGAACCATGCATCTCAAAGCATGGAACCATGCATCTCAGTGCATGGAACCATGCATCTCAGTGCATGGAACCATGCATCTCAGTGCATGGAACCATGCATCTCAGTGCATGGAACCATGCATCTCAGTGCATGGAACCATGCATCTCAGTGCATGGAACCATGCATCTCAGTTCATGGAACCATGCATCTCAGTGCATGGAACCATTCATCTCAGTGCATGGAACCATGCATCTTAGTGCATGGAACCATTCATCTCAGTGCATGGAACCATTCATCTCAGTGCATGGAACCATGCATCTCAGTGCATGGAACCATGCATCTCAGTGGATGGAACCATGCATCTCAGTGCATGGAACCATGCATCTCAGTGCATGGAACCATTCATCTCAGTGCATGGAACCATGCATCTCAGTGCCTGGAACCATTCATCTCAGTGCATGGAACCATTCATCTCAGTGCGTGGAACCATGCATCTCAGTGCATGGAACCATGCATCTCAGTGCATCGAACCATTCATCTCAGTGCATGGAACCATGCATCTCAGTGCATGGAACCATGCATCTCAGTGCATGGAACCATGCATCTCAGTGCATGGAACCATGCATCTCAGTGCATGGAACCATGCATCTCAGTGCATGGAACCATGCATCTCAGTGCATGGAACCATGCATCTCAGTGCATGGAACCATGCATCTCAGTGCATGGAACCATGCATCTCAGTGCATGGAACCATGCATCTCAGTGCATGGAACCATGCATCTCAGTGCATGGAACCATGCATCTCAGTGCATGGAACCATGCATCTCAGTGCATGGAACCATGCATCTCAGTGCATGGAACCATGCATCTTAGTGCATGGAACCATGCATCTCAGTGCATGGAACCATGCATCTCAGTTCATGGAACCATGCATCTCAGTGCATGGAACCATGCATCTGTGCATGGAACCATTCTTCTCAGTGCATGGAACCATTCTTCTCAGTGCATGGAACCATTCATCTCAGTGCATCTCAGGTCACGGCGAGCAGGCGGCGGCTTCCGAAGGCGTACGTGCGGAGCGTGACGGCGCTCATCAGCAGCCTGCGCGACGCGCTGGGCGCGAGGCTGACATGGCGCGATCTGCGCGTACCTGGGGGAGTGGCGGGGGAAAGCGCCGGAGAACACAGAGGTGAGCGCAGGGGAGGGGGGAGTATGCGCTGAGAGGAGGGTTGAACAGGGGGAGAGTTGAAGGGTCGGGAGGGCTGAACGCGGGGAGGGCTGAAATCGTTTTCAGATTGTATGGAGGTGAGAGCAGGGGATGGGGATGATGGAGGAGATGCACTGTCAAAAGGATGGGGAGAGGTCAAAAGGAAGGCTCCGTTTAGCTACTGCCTTGCCAGATTGTCTTGCCGGTATCCTCCTTGTGTACTGATCATTTCCCCTTTCCCCGGTTTTCTCCCTCTCCTCCCTTTCCTCCCTCCTCTCCTTCTCCCCACTTTCCTCCTCCCCTCATCCCCACGTTCTGCTTTCCTCCTCCCCTCCTCCCTTCCCAGTCAGACCATCACCTCCTCTCTAAACTCTGTTCTCACAGCGCTCTTCTGCTTCGTCATGCGCAGTGGAGCGAGTTCAATGCCCAGCTGCCTCTTCTTCCCTTCTAGCATTTTTCTCCATCCCCTCCTCCCCACCCCCCTCTCCTCCTCTCTCTACCAGACCATTGCATTCTCTCAACTGTGTGCCCTCTCACACTCGACTCTCCCTGTCAGAATGTTCTCCCGCTTCTATGTATACCTGTGGAGCGGATTCAGAGCCAAGCCACCTCCTTATTTCACATTTCCTCCACACCCTCCCCCCTCTTTCCTTCCATCCGCACTCCCCTCCTCTCCTCCTTCTCCATCCTCCCTCCCCTCTCCTCCCCCTCCATCCTCCATTCTCCGGCTTCTACATGCGCAGTTCATTGCATTCAGTGCCAGGCTGCCTTTTTTTCCAATTTCACATTCTCTCCCTGCCTTTCCCCACCCAAAAACCCCCTGTCCGCTCTCTTCTCCTCCCATCCCAATCAGACCATCACCTCTTCGCTCTACTCTGTGCTCAGAACGCTCTCCCGCTTCTACATGCGCAGTGGAGTCAACGCAATGTCAAGTCTCCCCTCCTTCTCATTTTCTTCCTTCCCTCTTCCCTTCCTCCCCTCCCAGATCATCACCTCCTCGCTCGACTCGGTTCTCAGAACGCTCTCCCGCTTCTACATGCGCAGTGGAGTCAACGCAAAGCTCCCTGCTGATGTCAGAGACGGGATCCTTGCTGACCTGGCACTTGCAGAAGCTGCTTTGTGATTGGTAGGGGCGCTAAGCAATCTGCAGCAGCATATGTTATCTACATAACAAGCTGCTGAATTAGGCTCAATGTTTAAAACACAGCTGAGGCAGTTATACCGAATTTCCCTTCTAATATGTTGTCGGCTCGAATTTTCTTGATAAAAGTTTATGCACGACACTAGAACGGGGATGCATATTGGTAAACCGTGCCTGGATAACATTCGCATTGAACCATGCTTTGACAACTTCCTATTTAGGCAAATGGAATTCATTTATTCACTCCATGCCTGGAGTGCGTTTGGCTTTCCCCTCAGTGTTGTGTTTGATGTTTGTGCAATGCTGGAAAGAACGAGTGTGGGTTGCACTATCGAGGTCAAGACTAACGAAGCGCCGTCAGGCAGGGGGGTTGAAAATAAACTATCCATTGGCGGGGTCGAGGCGTGTCGCTCGGGCGCGCAAATCAGAACGCTGGCCTGGTTGGGCCACGTGGTCTCCTCGGCACTAAACCCGCACTTTCCCGCCAGCCGCTAGCCTCATCATCAGTAACAACTGCTTTTGCATGTTCGACCTGCTGAGTCAGATTGGGCCCCGTCCGTCAACACCCGACCCGAACCGAACCGAAGCAGGCCCCGTTGGACAAATAGACAGTCATGATGTCCGTCTCGCCCCATAGCACCTCACTGAAACGCACAGAAACCCCTGGTTCTGCACAAAGCCGTCTGTCTCTGAATGAGTCATACTGAATGCTTTCTGCTCAATGATGCTGATGGAAGTGATTCAGTGAAACCGAATACCAGCGTCATTCCTAGCGTCATTGAAAGCTGAAAGCTGAATCACTTCCATCAGCGCCATTGTGTGAAGCCCACAAATACACACACGGACTCTAGAGCAGACGTCTTCATTGCCAGAACGTTAGACCAGCATTTAGTTAAAAGTGCGTATTAGTCTTGGTTGGTCCTTCGCGGGATGGCGTCCTCAGCGTTGTCGTCTCGTATTAAGAAATCGTCTTGCGTGTCGCTCGATCACTTGCCGGACGACCTCCTATGTGCTGTCCTTCGCCTGCTGGACAAGTATTCGAGTAGCACCTTTAACCACGCGTTGGTCTCGAAGCGATGGTATCGCGTTGCTTGCCTCGCGCGGACGTCAATCTCCGCCAGCCGCTCCATTTTAAGTGTCGGGTTTATCCAATCTCTTGTGAAGTTTAAGAATCTGACGTCCGTAACCATTAGAGGATCCGATTTCAGTGAAGTCGATTATGTTCTCCTCGCTGGTCTTGGTTCCGCCTGTTCCAAGCTGACGCAACTTTGAACTCTATGGTGGAAGCTACGATCGTTCCCGTGTAACGACGAGTACGGGACTGGATGCACTGTTCACCGGTTGCACGGCGTTGCAAACCCTTGTCGTCGAGATTCCTGATAAGATCGAACGGATGCCGTCATCTTTCTTCGGCTTGTCTTCCTTAACGGACGTTAATCTCAATCTACGCCTGAGGGAGTTCCCGGACGAGTTCGGTGGGCTGAAATCTCTTACGAAACTAAAGCTGGAGAACTTGCTTATCGAAGAACTACCCGAGTCTTTTGGCCAGCTCACCGCCTTGACCGAGCTAGATATCTCCGAGTGCATACTGCTGTACGGTCTGCCGGATTCCTTCGGCAATCTTTCCTCGTTAAAGAAACTTACCGTTTACTATGCAAGGTCGTTGGAGGTTCTTCCTGATACCCTCGGCCAGCTTCAGAATCTCCAAGAAGTTATTCTCAATTGCAACGAATCCCTCTCACAGCTCCCACATTCTTTGTACAGCCTTCCTTCTCTCAAGGTTCTCACGCTGTGGATGTTGGAGGATCTCAAGGAGCTTGATAGCGAAGTGTCCAATCTCGTGTCTCTTGAAGATCTCAGTATTAACATGTGCTGCCGGTTCTCTTCGCTTCCTGCATCCTTCTGCACGCTCCCCAAGCTCTGTTCCCTGGGGATCTCCGGCTGCAAGCTTCTCACTCACCTACCGCAAAGCATCGGCGATTTAACCTCACTGGAATATCTAGCGTTATGCAAGCTCAAAAACTTAAAGCGTCTGCCAGGAACGATTTCCGAGCTATCCAATCTCCGGTCCTTCACCCTGCAGCATTGCAACAGCATCTCCAACATCCCTGCATCACTTTTACAGAGATCTAAGAGACTGAAAGAGCTCAGGTTTCAGTGGCCATCTTGTTGTGCGGGAAGCCAGCAGGCTGGCAAAGTATCCTCTGGTGAAGCTGCTTTCATCTCTTCAATCTGCAAGTTATCCCACCTTAAATTTGTCTATCTCTCTGGCTTTCCCCGCCTCAGTACTCTTCCCCAGGAATTTTGGGATCTCGTGCAGCTGGGTCGGATGATACTTTCTTCCTGGCCCAACTTGTCAAGGTTTCCGGATTCTATGTCCAAGCTTACCAAGCTATCGGACATTGTAGTGGTTGCATGCCCAGCTTTCAAAAAATCTGCTGCTGCCGTTCCTGGGCTTCCGAATCTGAGAATTGATGTGACAAGCGATGACTGGGATTGGGACAAGGATGAAGAGGAGGATGAAGAGGAGGAGGATGAAGAGGAGGAGGATGAAGATGAAGAGGATGAAGAGGAAGAGGATGAAGAGGAGGAGGAGGAGGATGATGAAGAGGACGAGGATGATTTAGGAATATGACCTAGCTTAGCGCAGTTTGTTGATGCAGAGGAGGTGGTAGCTTAGTGCACCTCCTTGCATACCGTATGTGTTTCTTCAGTGATATGACTTGATTCAGACTGATGCGGTAGCCATTATGCAGTGACACTACAAAATATTAATTCTTCATGCCTATTGCTTCTGAAAGCAAGAGGGCGGGGGGGGGGGATCTGGTTGGGTGTGTTGGGGGTTTGATAAATCAGTGTGGCAAAAAATCAACTGACAATATCTTTCAGCAAAAAATGAAGATAAAAACGGTAAGTAGTCAAGGGTGATGTCTGATCACAATTTGTATGCTGCTCTCTCATCAGTGTGGTTCAACCCAACACTTTAGCATGAACACATACGGTAGAGTAACAGATTGCTCCGCCCCACCCTCAGTAATGGTGAAACTTCTAACCTGACCCTACACATACCATACAACAACAACAATACACAAAACACAGCAGAAATAGGCATCGCGTCAGCCATCAATGGCACCATCCAGCATCCAGTGCACAACACAAGCACGGTTGCTCCACCTGCATGCGACATACCCAGGTTCTTCAACCATTTTTTTTTCTCCCCGCTCGCCATGCCTTCCAGCTGGCGCACACCCATTGGCGCGATCGATCACTTGCTGCCCACAAAAATGCTCTGGGCCAGCACAGGCCCGAGGGATGCAGGAGGTTTTAGAAGATGCTGCCCTGGGGATGGCTGCACATTGCAGGAGTTACCTGGTAACCATCTACTGTCTTGAGGTGCCTCAAACTCGGTACCAGAAGATGCTACCGCGCGGACGGCTGTACGTTGTGGGAGTTACCTGGTAACCACCCACTGTCGGTGGTGCCGCTCTGCACACTGTTTCTTGGTTAAAAAATGCTGAGTATGAAAGGGAGGTGGGCCGTCGCCGCACTCATTGGTATCGAAACGACCTACCAATAGATGAAGGTGGTCGGTGGAGGGAGGGGTGATGAATGGAGGGCATGGAAGGGGTACGGGGTAAATAGAAAGACGAGGGGTTGCGGAATGGAAAAGGGGATAGGGGAGAGAGATGAATACAGGATGCAGAGTGGTGAGGCGGGTATGATGTGGATGATACCACACTGTAGCAGAAGGCCGTTGATTGGAGGTGGGTCGTCACAGCATGCACTGGTGTCTAAGGAACTGCAGGCGAAGAGCGGGGAGGGAGGGGGATGGGGGCAAGTGGGGAAGCAGGGGGAGAGGATGATAGGAAGGGCCGCCGCAGCATGCATTAGTTTCAAACAGACCTGCAGGTGAAGAGTGGATGGATGGGGGATGGGGGGAGAGTGGGGGAAAGCAGGCGGGGAAGTGTGCGGGGAAGCAGGGAGGTGAGATTGATAGGACGGGCCATCGCAGCATGCATTGGTTATGAACAGACGTGCAGGTGAAAAGTGGATGGATGGGTGATGGGGTGAGTGGGTGAAGCAGGCGGGGAAGTAGGCAGGCAAGTGGGCAGGGAAGAGGGGGGTGAGGATGATAGGACGGGCCATCGCAGCATGCATTGGCTTCGAATAGGTGAAGAGTAGAGGGAAGGGGAATTGGGGGGAAGTGGGGAAGAAGGGGGTGTTAGAAATAGTCAGTCAACACTTTGTACTATATTCTATATCGGTTAGGTTACTTTGTAGGTTGGGTGTAGATTTGTAATCCCAACCCTATCTGGTTGGGATTCCCTCGTAATCCTGCAAATCTGCCAACTCACCAATTGGAGATTTGCTAGGATTCCCATCCCATCCTTTCCCTACCTTTGCTCAACCCAACCATGTTTGTACTCAAGGCCTAGTGCCTTCCTTATCAATCAATCAGTTCAGATCCAATTCTATCATGGTATCGAGCAAGTAAACTCCGCTCACGCGGAATCCGATCCTTGGCGTCCCGATGGTTCTCTCCTTCTAGGCTATGCCTATTTCGGCTCCCGGCTCCTACGCTTAGCGTTTTTCAGAAACTTCACATCGTCGCTCCGGTCAAGCGCGCATTCGGCTTCCTTCATCGCGCATCTCGTTTTTCATAGGCGACATTTTCAGCTTTCGACTTCCTTCATCGTAAGCTTCTGGTATTTAAATCTCCGTGGCAATTTTTGAAATTTCTTAACTTCGAACAAGTTTTCAGCGGCGCAGCAGAACAGGTCCCGCGGCGCAGCGGAACAGGTCCAGCGGCGCAGCGGAACAGGTTCAGCGGCGCAGCGGAACAGGTCCAGCGGCGCAGCGGAACAGGTTTTCAGCGGCGCAGCAGAACAGGTCCAGCGGCGCAACAGAACAGGTCCAGCGGCGCAGCGGAACAGGTCCAGCGGCACAGCGGAACAGGTTCAGCGGCGCAGCAGAACAGGTCC